CTTGTTAAAGATGAGGAGTAAGAAGTATGTAAATATCAGAAAGGATAACAAGTAATATCAATGACATAGAGACGATGGGAGAAGTAAATTCCCAGGGGTGATGTAAAAGGTAAAGGAGATATGTTTTTATTGTCATGTTCACTAGAAAAAATATCAAACCTGTGAATTTACTGATATTTTTGTTTAAGAAAAGACTTAGTAAAAAGGAGAGAGGAGTGATTTAAAATAATATATTAAGAAAACTATAGTGAGAAGTAATTAAAATGGCTGTAGATGAATAACCAGAGTCTGGTTTAGAGGTTCAGATTAACTCCTAATTCCTATGCCCAACTGTGAGACCAAGGCAAATTATATGCCTCTATACAATAGTTATTGTCATTGAATTTCACATATTTCTTATATACATTAAATAAGGCCATATTCAAACATGAGAGTGATTTGTAAACCATAAGAATCTATAGAACCAAATTGCATTATTAACTATGGCTAAAAAAATAGATTTGTCATACTTTCATCTTTGATATACTGTGGACCCTTCAAATTTTACACTAGTATAAATGTAAACAGAAGCAGAAGAGGTTGGGAAATGCTGGGTTTAAAAGCAGGGGCCTTACAGTTTAAAATTAATTTGATATTGTATTCTGGCTCCGAATCATTTAATATCCCTTATCCTTAGCAACCTCACCTAAAAAATGGGTAAAATTTCAGCACCTACCTCATAAGAATATTTTTGAGAATTAAGCAACACATATAAAACCTTTGGCACATACATGCACTAAATATAAAAGCAATTATAGACATTATTAAATAGGACAAGTTGAACTAGAATTAGTCACAACATGCCTTTCAAATTTCTAATAATTTTGGCAGATTAAATGAAAAGTAGGGAATACATGGAGAACTCTGGCACAAAGCAGTTGTAGAAGTTCCGCTCATAAAAAATGTCTTAAACCAAGCAAACATCCCTAACAAGAGTTCTTTTTTGAAACTGTCAGAGAAAAAGAAAAATGACCCTGGTAACAATCCTGGGAAAATATGGAGTATAACATATCACAGTCATCTTCCTGTGGCTCATCCTAGCAAAAGCCTGAGAGTCCAGACCTTGGTTAGAAATTGACTAAAGAATACAAAGCCATGAGACTGGTTGCCAAAAAGCTTTGGAAGAAAAACTGTGGGTACCAAGAACCCACAGATATGTCATATTTCCAAAGCAAGCGTCCAAGTTTGGACATCACATGTGGATTTTTACTTGAAGAAAATCATGTCAGATCTGCAGAGCTAAAGACCATGTTCATATCACATATGCTTCTAGAGTTACTTGTAACTCTGAGTCCCTGATTCTGTAATTCTACCTTGGTCACCGACTTACTTCTTACTAACGATAAGTCACTTGGATGTGTAGCCACTGCATATGGGACATTCCCAACATTTGGCTAAGTTAGGCAGCTGCAGCTTTGTGGTTAAACGTTCAGGCTGTAGTGCCAGACTGCTTGGGTTTGAATCGACTTCTCTACATACAAGCTTCAATGACTTGGGCGGAATCACATATCTTGATGTGCCTCACCTGAAAAATTGAAATGACATGAATACTCTCCTTTTAGGGTTTTTTGTTGGTGGTGTGAGGTTTAAATGAGTTGGCATTTGTAAAATGCTTGATAGCATCGTCACACAGTAAAGCCTCAAATATGATCTGTTGCCATTATAAGAAGTTATTTCCCCATATCAGCAAGTCTCAAAATGCAGCTAAGTGGGAATCATCAGAAGCCTTGTTAACACAGACCCCTGCTCCCCATCCCTGCAGTTTCTGATGCAGTGGGTCTGAGATGGAGCCAGGGAATTTGTATTTTTATCAAGGTCCAGGGTGATGCTGATGCTGTTGGTCCCAGGACCACACCCTGAGAACCACTGTCCTGAAACATTCGTTCCAAATTCTCATCAAAGACTTAAATGCAGTGTCACTAGAGGGAGTGAAAGGTCATTTCAGTTATATTAATTCAGTGTTTGTGAGTCCAAATATTGGGAGCCCTGTGTCCAATTGCAGGAGTTATGGAAGGGGGTCTTGGCCAGTTGCCAGGGCTAAGCCTGGAGGCTATCTTGGTGGGCGGGGTGGAGGGGGGGAGTGAGGGAAGGCAACCCAAACAGAAATAATAGCATTTATATCCAGGGCTCCGACAATCCCTTTCACAAGGACGTTTTCTCCAATTGAGCCAAACAGAAAATTCAAACTGCATATATCACGGGTTTTCATCGCTAACTTTCAGCCTTCAGAAAGAAGTTTGGGGAGGGGGTGCGGGGCACAGAACCGAGGACAGCCCGGGGTGATAAGGCAAACCCTGAACCCAAAAGGCTCACCTGTCAACAGGTGGAGGACAATGCGGGTATTAACGCGCCGCCACAGAAAACTGCCCAGCCCACCAACCCGGACCTGCCTGGAGACATCCCGGGAATTGGAATCGAGGAGGAAATGAGACAGAGGCAAACGGGCGAACGGCTCGTGCCATGAGGAAGAGCTTGGTGGTCGCTTATTAGCCGTGTGCCGCGCAGCCCCGGCCGAGTCCCCAGACACAGAAGTTAACGTCACCCCGTCCCCGCCCCGCCTTCTTTCCCTGGGCTCTGGAAGGTAGGTCCCTGAGACTCCAGCGGCTGAGCTACAGACACTGCCGGCGGCGTGAGCCCATTGGCCACCTGGGCAAAGAGGTGAGCGGCTCCGCCAATCCTTTCTCACCAAGGGGACTGACCGGGCTCGCGAGGGGCTGCGCGTGGGAATGCAGGAGCCCCGCTGCCCAGTGGGGTGGGAAGGGTGAGGATCGGGGCGCGGGAGTGGGAAGAAGCACCGCAGAAGGAGGGGAATTAAAGAAAATTGGAGAAAGTCACTTCTTCAGTGACTGATGCCAGGCAAAAGACACACGCTGAACAAAGATTTATCAGTAGGTGGAGACCCTTATTGTGAGCATCTATGGCAGATTTGCCCCCCCAAAATTGAGAAGAAAATTTTGGGACCTGGGGTAAAGTGGAGTGGTATAAATAGTTATATTTAAATGACAACTTGAAGGAGAATTAAAGCACACTGCTGGCGGAGGAGGGAGGAAATTTAAACACCTCCGCTTTGCCTTTTGTTTCTGTAACAACAACAATTATAATAAAGGAACCGGTTAGAGACCTCCAAAGTCGTGGAAGCGCCTCCAGGTCTCTCTCCAGAGCATCAGTCCCGCGCGGCAAGCCAGCTAGACTAAGCCATCTGGCTCACTTTGGGATCGGAGGACCTCTCCTCCCTCAGGCTTGGATGCAACTTCTCATTCCCGGGGAAGGCTTTCTGTCTGTGCCTGTGTCAGGACAGGATTCAGGACCAGGACAGAAGAGCTCAGGTATTGTCCATTTCTATCTGTTTCATTATACACATTTTCAGGCTCAAGTTTGTAGATCCACAAACTTCATTTCTTTCTCTCTTAAATAGCTCTTATGTGGGCATACCCACTTCTATTTTCTAGCTGAATAAGAGAATTACCAGCCTTCTGCTATTTCTTTCTTTGCTTATCTCATGAAAAGAAGGTGGAAATGCTGTCTCCAATCAACCCAAGTTTATTAAACTTTTTGTAAGCAAATGGTCACCATGACAAAAGTGGCCATATGATTAATCCTATATTAAATTTTAATTTGGGCTAAGTTCTAATCATAATTCCATTATCTTTATATCTATCAGAACATACAAGTAATGCACCATCCATGTTGTTTCCAGCATAGTTTATGGCCAAAAGATGCTTGCTGGTAGAATCCAAAAGAAATCATTCTATTCTAAGGAGCTTTGAGATTTATAAATTATGAAGGTTGCTTTTCTTAGAAAAGCATAATCAAGATTTTATTGCAATCCTTGCATGTTCCAAATTTCAGGAGAATGTAAGATCTGGATTCCTGGGCTGGCCCTACATGTGGGTTACAGATAACATTTTTCCAACAAGCTGAGCATATTTTTTCCCTGGTGATGCTCCCTACCCCCATGGCTGACATGAGGAGGGGGAGAAGGGACCAAGGAAAGAGGCAGAGAGATATTCTAAACGGAGCCAAAGCAGACAGCATCATGCCTATGAGGGGTCAGCATGGCCCAGCGCAGTGTAAGTGCAAAGCTCGGGCCCTCTCAGCTGGTCAGTTACTGTTGCTTTTGGTCACCATTTGGCAGTGAAATGTGCAATGTGCTTTTTTCTGGCAAAGTCTTGAGGACATATTAGAAAGAGATTTATTCATCCTTCCTGTGGATTATTGCTGCTCATAAAAATGTTTTTGAAGAAGGTTTAATAAAATTAAAACAAATATTATACAGCCAATGATAAAAAGTGTTACAAAATTTAGTTTGATCATATATATACACACACGCACACATATATACACAAAAACAAACACACAATATATATAAAAGGCTGGGAGGTATACAGAGAAATGTTAATGGTTATGTTTGGGTGGTGGGAATATAAGTAATTTTAATTTTTTCTACTTATTTACAGCTTCCAATTTCTTATGAATATTTATTAGTCTTAAAACCAGCTTAAAAAATAATCTAAAGAACTAATGTATAAATAGAAAACTAAGACTTACATATTTCAGTTATCACAATATCTTTATTATGGTCTTCATTCTCTCTTTTTAATGAATCCCTGAGTAACAGGGATTGCTGCTTTTTATAAAGAATTGAAAAACTGTGAAGGAATTTTCACAATATCCCACTTGATCACAAAGCTCCATGTGAGGTCAGCACATACTGTGGTTTTGTAAGTTTTACCATAAACACAGAAGGAATCTAACTCTGAATCAAAATAAAATCGACTACTTACTATTGAAAGCTAAATTCTCCATGTAACAGATACACTATATGATACAATCTATTATATATAATACACTTATGACCCTTCAGGAAGGTCCCCCCGAGATTACCACAGGTGCTACGTGTGGTTGTACTGGGACTTTGCTCAAACCATAATGATAACTCCAAGGTGTGATGTTTGTTCAGGATGAAAGCAGAAGGCAGAGGAATCACCTGCTTTCTGGTCTCCTTCGCTGTGATCTGTCTGCTGGCCACCCCCGGGGACGGGGCCTGTCCGCGTCGCTGTGCCTGTTACGTGCCGACAGAGGTGCACTGCACCTTCCGGTATCTGACCTCCATTCCAGACAGCATCCCGCCCAGTGTGGAACGTATCAATTTAGGGTACGTGGGGGCCCTTGTCTTGTCACCTTCTCAAGGAGGGATTGTCCTCAAAACACTTGTGACTTTGGGAGAGTAACCACAATTGTAATAATATTTATCTTCTGAAATGAGTGCATGAGGATCTTAAGTTTGTTAGGGCAATGAGAAAATGTTTCCGTGTAAACTTTTTCTAGGAGAAAGTTCTTCTAGAACCTAAAGTCATTCTTGGTAGGTTGGGATCCATGGCTATAGAAAAGCTTCATTCTGGCTTCATTTGTGCTGGAAAGCAATATAGCTGCTGTTGAGAATTAGGGTTACAGTATATCAGTAAGAGATGACAGACAACTAGAAGTGTCCTCCTATATATAAAAGATATGTATGAAAAAAGCTGGCTAAATCCTTTTTTGACGCCGTTGCACTTTTTCCCATACAAACTGAATTATTTAAAATGCTTTTTAAAATGCATACTTAATTGTGTAAATCTACCAAAAGGTGTCTATATTTTAAAGGTTCATAAAAAACTGTCTGAACATATGTGTAGTCAAACTTAATATCATTTAACATTAGTGAGCACCTACTATGTGCCAAACACAATGGATGGTAGTGGAGAATACAATGAACAAGCTATATTATTCATTTCTAGAAGTTGTAGATAAAGGGAGAAGGCAGATGTACAGTCAGTACAATTTAATAAGAACCATAATAGATAGAGCAAAGGGCCTTGGGAACAATCACTAATAATAATAGCTAACATTAATTGTGTGCTTACTATGTCCTGACATTGAGCTAAGCCATTCTTCGTGTACTTACGTACCCCCTTTGGAGTAGGTTCTACTGTTTGCATTTTATTGGTGAGAAAACTGAGGTACAGAAAGGTTATTGACTTTATCCAGGGTCTAGCTACTACCAAGTGTCTGAGTTCACAATCATGGCCAAACAATTTGGCGTCAGAGCCCAGGTTTCTTAGCCACTGTTTTATAATGATGAATGGCACCTGGGAGAGTGAGGGGACCTGTCAGAAAAAAGCAGGCTGAGTCTTCGCAGTGTTCACAAACTTGGGGTAGGGTGGGGGTGGAGTCAAGCATTCCCACCTGAAGGGACAGCACACTCAGAAAGGATTGGAAAGGAAAAGGAATGTGGCATGTTCTAGGGATATGAATAAGGTGATTGTAACTGAGATTGCAAGCACTGAGCAGGGGGTAGACCTTCTGTGGCAGCTAATGAATTTCAATAATATTTCAAGCATCGGATTATCTTCGTAGAGCACAAATAAAATAAGAGAGGCTTTGGGTGTGTGTGTGTGTGTGTGTGTGTGTGTGTGTGTGTGTGTGTGTGTGTATGTGTGTGTGTGTGTATGTGTGTGTGTGTGTGTGTGTTGGTTGGTTTTTGCTTTGACATTTGAACTTTAGTTGACAGGTTTAGCTTGTGCCTTCCTATTTCAGGTACAATAGCTTGGTCAGATTGACGGAAACAGATTTTTCTGGCCTGAATAAATTGGAGTTACTAATGCTGCACAGCAATGGCATTCACACCATCCCAGCTAAGACCTTCTCAAATTTGCAGGCCTTGCAGGTGAGACCATGGGGGGAAGGGACAGGTGAAAGAGGTGACATGCCTGTTCCGAAAACTGCCCATTCCTACAGCATCCAAAAATCAACATCCTGCAAATTATTAGTAGACATCAGGGGAGAATGTCAAAGAACTGATTTCTTTATAAATGCAACAGTATGTGGAAATGAGAATAATGAAAAAATTATGGGCACGTTTTCTTATACCTCAGGCTTATAGGGAAAAAAATTAATACCCAGTGATTATAAAACCTTTAGAATTTAATCCTGAAAGTCATGTTTATCTGGAAACTGAATGTCATTATTAAAAGAAATTGCTATCTTAGAAGTTAGCTTTCTATACAGCAATATATTTTTTTGTTTCCCTTTACTTATTTACTAAACCCTGCTTTGTTCAAAAAAACTTTAAAAAGCTAGGGGACTTCCAAGGATGAGTCAGATATTGTGAGAATTCTGACTCCAGTAAGTGAGACAGTAAAAGGTAAAACAAATCTAAAGATGAAAACAAAGAGAGCACAGGGAAATGTAGACATATAGACCAGAATGTCGGCTGTAAGTAGGACTTGAGGCTTTCGAGGAGCTAATTCACAATTCATGACATCTATTCATTTTTAATAAATAAAAACTAAATAAAACTCTTCAGGAAAAGCACAACCACATCTGATGTTAAATCAGAGAGATTATTTCCCAAAGCTCCTGATAAAAGAGATCCAGTGCAATAAAATAGTCAGTAATAGCCAATAAAATAAAGTCAGTAATATCAAAGATAAAATGCCAGAGTATATAGAACCTTTTGACATCATACCAGTGTAAAGGCACAGAACTCAGTCTAGGTATGGGATTCTAGTTATTTGGCTTAATCAGGTTTTATTTGGGATACATGTGTTCAGAGGATTAGATGAAATACATATTCTTCACAAAGTACTCTGCACATTTATACTCTTGACCAGGTTTCCAATAGATATTGAGGACCACTGAGTTTGAGATTGTACTCCCAGCTAATATTTGGGGCAAAGCTCTTCTATGTTGCCAATTTCGTTTTTCTTTGCTTATTAGGAAACTTGGCATTCCAGGAAAGCACTCTCAACAGAGATGACAGATTAGATCAAATCAGGAAAAAATTATGAGAAACCACTGTATTTACTATCATTTCTTTTTCTTTCCTTTTTGGAAGAGAAGTTTGTTCAACTAGTAACTGGAGAAGAAATTGAGGAATACCCACACACTACTGAAATATTCAAAAATTATTTTAATTTTAACTCAAAATCAACTAAAATCATGTCATTCATAATACCAAAAATGGAAAATGCCCCAAATATTTATCAACTGATGAATGGATAAACAAAATATGTTCCATGTATGCAGTAAAATAGTATTTCACATTTATAGAAAGGATTGAAGGACTGATACATGCTAAACATGGATGGGTCTTGAAAATATTAGGCTAATTGAAAAAAGCTAGACACAAAAGATCACGTATGGTACAGTCCCATTTATTTTAAATGTCGAGAATAGGTAAATCCATAGAAACAAAGTAAGTAAGTGGTTTTCTAGGGCTAGGAGTAGTGAGGAAATGACTGCTAATGAGTATCTGTTTTACTTTGGGGTGATGAAAAATTTCTAAAATTAGATAGTGGAAATGGTTGCACAACTCTGTGAATGTACCAAAAAACCACTGAGTTGTATATTTTAAAAACGTAAATTTTATGGCATGTGAATTATATATCAATAAAATCATTACAAATGTAAAATATAAATGAAAATCAATATATTTCTTATGAAAAATTCAAGTTCAAGAAATCTTAAATTTACTTAAAATATCAAGATACTTTAAATTAAAACTTATGGAAATTTTCAATGATATACAAAAGTAGAATAATATAATGAACCCCAATGTAGCATCATCCAGCTTCAATAGTTATTGACACATAACAGATTGTTTCACCTGTATCTTCACTCACCTCTTTTCCACTTCATTGCATTGTTTTGAAACAAACCTGTGATATCATAATGTTGCATCTATAAGTACTTCAATATCTCAACGTTAAGGAGTCTTAAAACAATAACCACAATATTATTATTGCATCTTAAAATTTAGTAATAATTCCTTAATGTCATCAAATGTTTGTGAGTGTTCTAATTTCCCTAATATTCTCATATTTAATTTGCAACTAATTTGTTTGAATTAGAACTCAAACACGGTACACACATTGCGTTATATTAATCACAACATATGGTTTATTGATATGCTCTTTCCTTTTGTGAAAACTCTGACAAAATAAACATATTCTTTTTATTCTTAGGTCTTAAAAATGAGCTATAACAAAGTTCGAAAGCTTGAGAAGGATACTTTTTATGGCCTCAGGAGCTTGACACGGTTGCATATGGACCACAACAATATTGAGTTTATAAACCCAGAGGTTTTTTATGGACTCACCTTTCTCCGACTAGTGCACTTGGAGGGAAATCGGCTCACTAATCTCCATCCAGATACATTTGTCAATTTGCGCTACCTCCAGATATTTAAGACATCTTTCATTAAGTACCTGTTCTTGTCTGATAACTTTCTGAGCACCCTCCCTCAAGAGATGGTCTCCTATATGCCCGATCTGGAAAGCCTTTACCTTCACGGGAACCCCTGGACCTGCGACTGTCATTTAAAATGGTTGTCTGATTGGATACAGGAGAAGCCAGGTATCAATACTGTTTATTTCTTTGTTTTACTGTAAGAGATGAAACCTGCCTGCGGTGTTTTATCAGTAAATATGGAGGCCAAGGTAATTTAGCTGGAAAAAAATGACGTCTAAGGAATAATTCTGTGATAACTCATTCTTTTAATTCTTTAATGAATTAATCATTCATTGTTTAAAAGGCCAACCAACTATCCAATCATACTCCTGGCTTTTGGCAAACTTGGGGAATAAGAAATGGGTGTATTACTCTTCCCTATTTACCATGAGCCATAAAAACCCTCCCTTCTTCTTACCTTCCTCTCAGTCATTCAATCCACAGATAGTTTTTAGAGCTCTAGTCAAGGTTCTGTGCCAGGTAATGGAAGTACCAAGGGTACTGTCCTTGCTTTAACCACGCTTCCAGTGGGTTACAATAAGCAAACAGACAATCGGGGTGTGATTATCTTTGATGGGGAAAGTAGAATTTACCACAAAGAAAGCAAGATCCATTCAGTCAACAAGTAGTTATTTTAAACCTGTGTACAAGAAGCCACAGAGAGCATAGGGATCCCAAAATGAACAGGACAGATTAAGGTCCCTGCCTTCGTGCAGCTTACATTCTTGTGGAGAAAACCAGCAAACAATGAATTAAATATTAATTATTAAATGAAAAACTATTAATTATTAAAATCTTATTTAAATGGATTAAGTCCTTAAGACAGTGACCGAAAGGAACCCGTTGATTTTGTCAGCAAAGGGGGATGGTCAGTTACTTTGAAAAGATTGATGGAAGCTGTATTGCTATGTGGGGATCCCGGATAAGTGGGAGGTGGGACCGCAGTCGACTCTTAGAAGAGGTTTGGTTTGAGGTGAGGAAGGAAGGGTGTCAACCAGATGGAAATGTGCAGTCACACAGGTCTCTTCAAGCAGGAGAGAGACTTGAGCATGTTCATGATGAGGAACATCTGAGCTGCCAACAGGTGACAGGATGGCTCAGCTAAAACAAAAAAAGAAAAAAGAAAAAAGAATTTTTGTACATAAATAGGCAGATGTAATAAGCTGCATGAAAAGGGCAATGAATGGCCCAGGTTGCCTGGCATAGCATCAGCATTGACCAGCAAAGTGTTTTGAACCCAACTGTGGGGAGCACTGAATGCCAGGCTAAATTGTACTTTAGCCTATAGAAGAAAAAGGGAGATTTTCTAGTGAAAGATTTTCAATACATTTTCCCAATGAGATGCTTTTAAAGGATCTCCAATCTGTGAGCAGAGGGTAGGGCAGACTGGAGCGGGGACAAACACGAGGCCAGCTGGGAAGTGCTCTTGGTGTTCACGTCTGGGGAGTGACAGATTGAACTATGAGGTGACCACACCTGAATGTACCTCCTAAAGCTACATCTCAAAGGCAACAGGGATTGAGTGGGGGTTGCTCAGTACTTTCAAATACCATGGAGAGAGAAAGGAGAATGAGGAGTGAGAACAAACTATACTGGATTTTCTTGTGGTTGTTAGCTGGATTATGGGGGAAGGATGGTGAGCAAATAGAGGAAACTTACCTGAGAAATGTAGCAGTGAAAACATTTAAAAAAATAAGGTGACGCCCACAGGGGGAGAACTGCATAACCAGAGAGAAAATGATTCTGTGTTCAGTTCCTACAAGGGGTCAAACCTACTTGCCATTTTGCTAATTACCTGCTGTGGTGACAAAATCAGGCTAGTGTACATTGTTCATACCTAACATTTCATCAAGTGGAATATGCCACTGATTTTAAGATATCCAGCTATTTTATGGGCTACAGTCAAGGAATTGGCGAACTATAGCCCAGGGGCCGAATCCAGCCCTCAACAAGCTTTTGTAAATAGAGTTTTATTGGAACACACATGTGCCCAGTTCTTTACATAACATCTATGGCTGCTTTGGTGCTACAGTGGTAGAGACGAGTCATGTCAGAGAACTGTGGTTCACAAACACCAAAATCTTTACCATTTGGCCCTTTACATAAAAAGTTTGCTGCCCCTAGCCTACAGCACAAGGCCTGAGCTCCTTGCCTAATTTCAGCCTCCTTTTTTTTCTTTCCAACTCTCTGCTGCCCTCACATCCCAGATACACCTAATGCTGTTTTACACCTCATATCAGCTTCCCTGCCTGGAGCACTTTCCTTGCTTTTCTGCCTGACGGGCTCCCAGCCAGTCAGCAAGCTGTCCAGCACACACCCTTTCTGGGAAGCCAGGCTGCTTCTCCATCCATCCCATTCTTGTCAGAATAATCATTTCACCACTTCCGGTTTTCCCAAACTTCCATTCTTGAATGGATAACATTTTATTATATTTATTAGTATTAGATGTCTGTTGCTTGCCTATGTCTAATTTATTTATCCTCAGCTGCTAGGATGTACTTAGGGCATAGTAGGTCCTCAATAATTTTTGTTAAACTAAGCTTTTATCAATTAAATAGCCATTTTGATAGTGTACACAAATGAACCCACCACCCACTATGGTCTTAATATTCCCCTAAACTGTATTCCAAGAGAGTTTTCAGTTTCTTGTGCCTTCAGTTGACCCACTTAGCACGATAGGCAACCTTTTTGTACATCTTGATAGTCGAATGTAACACAGCTTCATCTATTTGTGGGAATCTTCCATTCATAAGTTCCACAAAGTTCTTGGCGTTGCTTTTCTATAACATATGGATTAGTGGCCATTTCTCTGACAAACATTTGTTTTACAAATACTAAATTTACGTCTGGCTGCCGTTTCCATGCCTTTCTACATACATAATAACTTCCTGTTCAAGCATAGTATAATCCTAATAAAAACATTTTAAGTGGCAAATTTAATATATGTTGTACCAACAGTGCCTGTATAACTCAATTGAAGAGAAAATAAAATAAATAGCCATGACAGTATTTGTGTGTGCGCAGGCAGTGGTAGCTCTATCATGACTGCCAGCTGTTTGGCTGGTGCTGTAAAACACCTTCAACTGTAAGACATGTCTCAATACATAAATTAGAATGTGGAAGAAATATGGTCTTAAAGTTAGGCCTGCCTGTTTTGCTCCCTCCCTCCTGTCCTGCAGTCTTTCCTGTGTACCCATTAGCCAGGCATGGGGACATACAGATGAACAAGCATGGAGCTTATAGTCTTGTGGAAAGACAGACAACCAGACGAGGCATTCTAACAGCGAGTGATCAGGAGTAGGATAAGAGAAGTGGGAGGTACCAGAACATAGAGCAGACAGCCCACTGGGAGGAAGTGCTGTTCCGCTGGGTCCAGAAGGCTGTTAAGTATAATAGTTGGGCATCAATGAAAGCAGGTGTGTCAGACAGTAAGTGTAAGGGAAGTAGAAGCCACAGCACATGCCTAATAGGGCGTGGGGGAGTTGGGGAATGGGAAGCATTTCTGTGTGCCTGGAACCTAGAGTGACAGGGGGAATGGAAGTGACATGATCAGGTTTGCATCAGAGGCAAAAGAGCTGATGGCCAGGGCCTGCCAACTCCGGTCCAGGTGCTAGCCATAAGCATACCAAGATGTGACCATGGTTCTGTGACAAGGTTTAATTAATCCAGAAGTCTGCCATGTTCTCTGCTATAGCAAGGTGCTGATAAGCAGGCATGGAGTCACAGCTGGTTGGTAAGTGAGGGGACTGAGAAGAACCCCTCAGGAGTGCTCAAAGGTTTGCAGGCTTGCCAGCTATCTCCTCTGCATAGGTTCAGACTCTAAAAATCTGCTGTAGAAAGCCAAGTAGCCAGGTCTGTGTGGCATTACTTGTCATACTTGTACATACTGGAAAGGTTTGGAGTCCCTGGTCAGAGGGACTTTCTTGAGCCTTTGTGAGGAATTGTGCCCAGGTGGGAAGGTGATGTGACCCGTCCCACCACTCTTGCAAATAAGATCTAAGTACAGTGTTTCTTTTATTTATTTACTTATTTAAGATTTTTTTATTGGGGAATTGGAGAAAGGGAACAGTCTTGGCGAATTGGGGAAGGAGAACAGCCAAGTTGTTGTCCTTCAATCTTAGTCGTGGAGGGCGCAGCTAGCTCAGCTCCAAGTCCAGTCGCCATCTGGCTGCCCGTCGGCAGCTCGTGGCCACTCAGCTCAAGGTGCCATGTTCAATCTTAGTTGCGGGCGGGCGTAGCCCACCATCCCATGTGGGAGTCAAACCAGAAACCTTGTTGTTAGGAGGTGGTGCTCTCACCAGCTGAGCCATCCTGCCACCTGTTGGCAGCTCAGCAGCAGCTCAGCTTGGGCGCAGCTCACTGAGAATTGAACCAGCGACCCTGTTACTCAGAGCTCGTGCTCTTAACCAACTGAGCCACTCGGCCAGCCCCTAAGTGCTTCTTTTAAATGCTGTGTCATGTGCATGATATGGAAGCTACTACATGGACTAGCATGGAAGACCTTGGCTGCATTTTGTGTCAAGAAAAAGTCTTCACCTCTTACCAAGTATTTCAGTGACCAGCCATTTTATCTTTTAAATATTTTTAATTTTTCCGTTACAGTTGACATACAATATTGTATTAGTTTCAGGTGTACAACATAGTGATTAGACATTTATATAACTTATGACATCATCACCCTGATAACTCTAGTACCCATCTGACACTATACATGGTTACTACAATATTACTGACTATATTCCCTATGCTGTATGTTACATCCCTGTGGCGGTTTTTATATCTGGCAATTGGCATATCTTAATCTCTTCCCCTTTGTCACCCATCAACCCCAACACCCCTCCCCTCTGGCAACCATCAAAATGTTCTCTACCTATGAGTTTGTTTCTGTTTTGTTCATTCGTTCATTTTGTTTTTTTAATTTCACATATAGGTGAAATCATATGATATTTGTCTTTCTCTGACCTATTTCACTTAGCATCATACACTCTAGGACCATTCATATTGTCACAAATGGCAAGATTTCACTTATTTTTATGGCTAATACTCCATTGTGTATAAAAACTACTTCTTCTTTATTCATCTATCGATGGACATTTAGGTTGCTTTTATATCTTGGCTATTGTAAATAATGCTGCAATGAACATAGAAGTGCATGTATCTCTTTGAATTAGTGTTTTGGGTTTCGTTGGCTAAATATTCACAAGTGGAATTGCTGGATCCCTCTTTGTCTGTTATAGCCTTTGTTTTAACTTCTAATTTGTCCAATATAAGTATTGCTACACTAGGTTTTTCTTTTTTCATTTCTATGCATGAACTATCTTTTTCCATCCCATTACTTTTAGTCTGTGTGTGTCTTTTGATTTGAAGTGGGTCTCTTGTAGGCAGCATATGTATGGGTCTTGTTTTCTTGTCCCTTCAGTCACCCTGTCTTTTGACTGCAGCATTTAATCGATTTATATCTAAAGTAATTCTTGATAGGTATGTAGTTATTGCCATTTTATTATTCATATTTTTAATTCTTTTCCCTCTTTTTTTTCTTCAAGAAATCCCTTTAACATTTCTTGTAATACTGGTTTGGTGACAATGAACTCCTTTAGCTTTTTCTTGTCTGGGAAGCTCTTTGTCCTTTGATTTAAATGATAGCCTGACTGGGTAGAGTAATCTTGGTTGTAGGTCCTTGCTTTCATCACTTTGAATATTTCCTGCCAATCCCTTCTGGCCTGCAAAGTTGAGAAATCAGCTGATAGTCTTATGGGAGCCTCCTTGTAGGTGACTAACTGCTTTTCTCTTGCTTCTTTTAAGATTGTCTCTTTGTCTTTAAAGTTTGGCATTTAAAGTAGGCCTCTTTGGGTTTATCTAGTTTGGAACTCTTTGCTTCCTGGACTTGTATGTCTATTTCTTTCACCAGGTTAGGGAAGTTTTCTTTCATTATTTCTTCAAATAGGTTTTCAATTTCTTGCTCTCTCTCTTCTTCCTCTGGTACCCCTATGTGAATGTTGGTACACATGTTGTTGTCTCAGAGGCCCCTTAAACTATCCTTATTTTTTATAATTCTTTTTTTCTTTTTGCTGTTCTGATTGGATGTTTCTGCTACCTTGTTTTCCAAATCACTGATTCAGTCCTCTGCTTCATCTAATCTACTATTGGACCCCTCTGATATATTCCTCATTTCAGTTATTGTATTCTTCATTTCTGACTGTTTTCTTTTTTTAATGTTTTCTATCTCCATGTTTGTTTCCAATCTCTTTGTGGAAGTTCTCACTGAGATCATTGAATATCCTTGTATCTAGTGTTTTGAACTCTGCCTCTGGTAGATTGTCTCCATTTTGTTTAGTTCTTTTTCTGCAGTTCTGTTCTTTTACTTGGGGCATGTTTCTTTGTCTCCTCATTTTGGCCAGCTCCCTGTGTTTGTTTCTATGTATTAGGTAGGGTTGTTATATCTCCTGGTCTTTGTAGAGTGGCCTTATGTAGTGGGTGTGCTGTGGGGCTCAGTAGTGTCGTCTCCCTGGTCACCTGAGCTGGGTGTGCCAGGTATGTCCCTGGTGTGGGTGGTATGTGTCCTTCTGTTGTAGTTGAGCCTTGATTGCTGCTGACACATCAATGGGAGGGACTGACCCTCAGGCTGATTGGCTGTGAGGACTGGCTGTGTCTACAGCAGAGGCGCTGTGTGCCAGGGCTGACCCCACAGAGTAGATTTCACTTTAGTGGGGCTCTGATGCCTGCTGAGTTTGCCCTTTGGGTTTGTCATTTGTGGAGCTGATTGGGTGGTGCTCTGGTCTGAATCGCCACTGGGTGTGTCAATTCTGGGACCTCTTGGGAGGGGCTCTGGTGCAGGCCAAGGTCAGCCACTACCTATAAGTCATCTGGTATGAGCTACAAAGTGATCTGCAGATGGTTGCCACTTGTGCTGGGAATGGAGGTGTCCGGGAGAGGCTAAGCTGAAATTTGAGACCAGCTGCCACTAGTGCCAAGGTTGAGGCCAGTTAGCAAGAGATACAGGGCAAGCCGAGGCCAGATTTGGGGTTTGTGAGCCTTTGACAGATTTTCAGAAAGTCTAGCATGAACAGAGCTAAACCATTTGTATGGGAAAGCATCTGGAACTGGCTTGAGTGGGCTCACAAGTAGGATGGGGTGAAGATTGTTAGCCAGGTTGATGGAGACTCAGACTTCACACCTACCTGTGTGTAGGCTGTGTGTAGGGAGGGCTTAACAAAGGAATGATGGCTTCTTCCAGTACTTCTCTCTTGGAAAAATCTGCCCCTCTAGCCCTCGCCCGGATGCCAAACAATTCAGTTCTTTTCCATTTGTCCCTGGCATTTTTCAAGCTGTTGCTCCAGTGCTGGAGCTCAGAGCAAGTAGGTCCATCAGCAAGTAAGTCTGTGCACAGGTCCTAAAAAGGGAATGCATGACACACCAGCCACCCTGGCTCTCACTCAGCTACAATCTCCTCTGGTTTTCACAACTAGAAGTTGTGGGGACTTCTCTTCCCAGCACTGAAACCAGGGGCTGGGGAGCTCCATGTGAGGATGGAATCTCTTGCTCCTTTGGTGGAGGGGAACCCTCCGCAGCTGAGATATCCCTCTGGATTTTTAACCGCCACATGGGTGTGGGGCCAGCCCATTCTCTGTCTCTGTCCCTCCTACCAGTTTTGATGTGGCTTCTTCTGTATGTACTTAGTTATAGGACTTCTGTTCAGTCTTCAGGCAGTTCTCAGTGATGGTTGTTTTGTAGTTTAGTTGTAATTTTGATATTGTCATTGGAGGAGGCAAGCACAGTGTTTACCTACTCCACCATTTTGAACAGAAGTCCAGTGACCAGCCATTTTAAATAGGCTCACCAGAGTGGTCTTTTTAAATGACTAGGTATGTGATATCTGAATACCTGAAAGAGGAGGTTTCTATTATTTGGAAAGGTTTAGGCTGGTCCTGGTGCTATAAAACTTCCAGGCTTTGGATTTTACCAAATTGTGAGACCTTTAAAGGGCTGTCCCATTGCTTGGGTACATTGTTCTTCCTCCTCATTAAACCTGATTTTCCTCCAATGAGTCTATATCTACCTTAGTCAATCTGGTTACCAAAGTCACACTGTGTCTTCCTTTACTCTTTTATTCAATCACCCACCCCCCATGTTTAAACCAAATTCTCACATCCTACTGATTGGTTTTACTTGCTTCACTATTTCCTGCATCCATCTGTTTCTCTCCATTCCTGTTATGACTAAGTTGGACCAGGCCACAATATCTTATAATTTAATCATTGTTATTTTGGACAATGGAAAGTAACTTGAATTTTCAATGATATCCAAGGGCTTATAAATGATCATTTATCAAACAGGTTATCTTTTAAAGGACAAAAAAGTTCTATGACTTGTAAAACATTAAAATGAGCAAAGACTACTAAACTACTGTTAATAAAAAAAAGTGATAAACACAAGCATATGAATTTGTTTCCTGAGATTAGGAAACTATTCATTCAACTAATATTTACTGAGTAATACATATATATCAGGCACTTTCTAGGCATGGGGAATACAATAGTGAATAAGACAGACAAAATCCTTGTATCAATGAATGTAATGTTATGACAGGGTATATAGACAATATCTTTTGAAGAAATCAACCCAAAAACAAAAAATAGAGGAAATTTTCCATTAAACACTAAAATTTCAAATTGTTTCAAATTCTAGTAAAAGTGATTTTTTTCAAAATGTGCAAATGTGAATTTATAAAGAGGCTACCACTGGCAATAATTCAGTTGTCATTTTCCCTAGATATAATAAAATGCAAAAAAGACAGAAGTCCCTCCGGTCCTCAGCAATGTCCACTTTGCATGAACCCCAGGACTTCTAAAGGCAAGCCCTTAACTACGGTCCCAGCTGCAGCTTTCCTGTGTGCCAAGCCAACTATTGATCCATCCCTGAAACTGAAGCACCTGACTATTCTGGAAGATAGCGGTTCTGTGTCTATCTCTCCCCAAGATTTCATGGCACCCTTCGGCTCCCTCACTTTGAATATGACAGACCAGTCTGGAAATGAAGCTAACATGGCCTGCAGTATCCAAAGGCCCTCAAGGACATCATCTATTGCATTCACAGAAGAAAATGACTACATCATGCTCAATACATCATTTTCTACATTTCTGGTGTGTAACATCGGTTACAGTCACATTCAGGCAGTGTGGCAAATTCTGGCTTTGTACAGTGACTCTCCTCTAATATTAGAAAGAAGCCACTTGCTCACTGAAACACCACAACTCTGCTACAAATATAAACAGGTGGCTCCTAAGCCTGAAGACCTCTTTACCAACATAGAGGCTGAACTGAGAGCAGACCCCTCTTGGTTAATGCAAGACCAAGTTTCCTTGCAGCTGAACAGAACTGCCACCACACTCAGTATGTTGCAGATCCAGTACTCTAGTGATGCTCAAGTCACTTTACCAGGGGCAGAGATGAGGCCAGTGAAACACAAATGGACCATGATTTCCAGGGATAACAACACTAAGCTGGAACGTACTGTTTTGGCTGGTGGGACAATTGACCTAGACTGTCCAGGCCAAGGAGACCCCACTCCACATTTGGAGTGGCTTCTACCTGATGGGAGTAAAGTGAGAGCCCCTTATGTTAGTGAGGATGGACGAATCCTAATAGACAAAAGTGGAAAGCTGGAACTGCAGATGGCTGATAGTTTTGACACAGGTATATACCATTGCATAAGCACCAACTATGATGATGCAGATGTTCTCACCTATAGGATCACTGTGCTAGAGCCCTCCGTAGAACCCTATCATGAAAATGGGGCTCATCATATCATTTTCATGGGTGAAACACTTAACCTTCCATGCTATTCTACTGGTATTCCAGATGCCTCTGTTAGCTGGGTGCTTCCAGGAAACACTGTGCTCTATCAGTCCTCGGGAGACAAGCAGATTCTTAACAATGGCACACTAAGAATACTACAAGTCACCCCAAAAGACCAGGGTCATTATCGTTGTATTGCAGCTAACCCATCAGGAGTCGACTTTTTGATTAACCAAGTGTCAATCAAAACAAAAGGGCCATGGCCAGTGGAGCATAATGTAGAAACAGATGGGTCTGGACTTGATGAGTTCAATCCCAGCGTTCACCATAAGGACCCACCAGCGGCACAGCTCCCTCCGTCTGCTCCAGCGGGAGGTGAGGCTGGAGAACAAGCGTTGAGCATAGGTAGAAAGCACAGCTATCGGGAGTTAACATTCCGGCGGCGTGGAGATGCAACACACCGACGTTTTAGGGAGCATAGGAGGCAGTTCCCTCCCTCTGCTCGGAGAATTGACCCACAGCACTGGGCGGCACTTTTGGAGAAAGCTAAAAAGAATACTATGCCAGAGAAGCGAGAAAATATCACAGCAAAGCCAACTCCGCTGGTCACACAACTCCGGAAAATACCTGGTGAGGAAGGAGACTCTTCAGGCATGCTCCCACCAGATGAGGAATTTATAGTCCTGGCAACTAACATTCCCAGTGTCCTGGCAAGGACAGTGACTGTCAATTCCAGAAAAATATCCGATAGCCCTGTGACAACTGTAACGACTGCTACCAAAGTCTCTCCAATTGTGAGTCCACAAATGCTACCACCTGAAAAAACAATAGATGTCAAACCATCTACTACTATTAAAACTACAGCCATGCCAAAGAACTTAAATACATCAAGCAAAACACAAGGCACAAACTACCTAAATTTATCCACTATCTCCCCTCTACTGCTTGAAACAACTCAATTTCTGGATGCTGATGACATGGGGCGGAGAAAGGAACATTTGCAAAGTGCACCCCTGATAACAGTGGGGACTGTGGTCAGAGATGTCAATACCAAGCTGCTCAGTAGTGCTGATAGCAAAGCTGATACATTCTTAGGATCAGAAAATGCCACGAATCATCATCAGACATCTGTGACAGGAGGCAGTGAACCCAGGAGCAATTACTTCTATTTTCACAGTCCTCAAAAGCTTGGCACCCCAAGCATCCCTTCAGGCTCATACCCTGCTGCTCATGCTCAGTTGCAGATTCCTAGAAATAGTACAACTAACATTCCGTTATCCAGACGCTTCGGAAGACGGAAGAAAATTTGGGGCAGGGGGCGAATTATCAGTCCATACAGAACCCCAGTTCTCCGGCGGCATAGATATGGCTTTGTGAGGCCGACAGTCAGAGGTTCTTCTAAAGAAAGCACCACTGCTTTCTTTTCATCCTCAGCGCTCACTGCAGGGTGCCCGTCCTGTTCCCCTGGAGAAGGGCTCACCACTGCTGCAGCTGCCTTCTCTTTTCCAAGTTCTTCCCCCATCACCCTCCCCAATGCTGGCATGGCCAGAGTCACATCAAAAGACTCAACAATTCTAGTCCACAATCCATCATTACTATTTGAGAACAAATCAAATGTAGACGGTGAGAAAACAACACTCACAATAAAATATTTCAGTGATGAAAGTACCAAAATGACTCCAACTGGTACAGTCGTGACTCGTGCCCCAACATCTGCATCTATGGAAAAAAATCCCATGACAAATATTGGTGACCCAGGTGTGTCTTACACCAGCAAAGCTCAAAGAGACCCAATAATTATATTGCCACTTCCAGGTCCCACCAGCAAGCCATCGATGCCTACTACTACAGCCATTCCAAGATTTCCAAGAAGGAAAATTCCCTGGCATCAGATGTTTGTACATAACCATAACCAAACAGAGAGGTTAAAGAATCAGCATAAATTTGGTTCACGAGAAAGCACAGCCACCATGCTTCCTAAAATATCTCCTACTTTACCCCCAGATAAAGTTTCCCCCTTCCATTTCACAACACACTCAGCAAATGGGATGCAAATTCCATCTATAACATTGGCTACAACTCACCACAGTACCCCCGAAACACAAAGTCCAACAAAGGAGCTGCCCTTCCCACCCGTTTACCCTACACTTCCTGGTATAAACAAGGAATCAAGTACAAGTTTCCTATCAGTACAAACAGCCACACTGACAGCTCCTCCTACTGCCTCTGCATCCATCAATATCAATAAAATCCAAATAGCCAGGCCCAGGACACAAAAAGTACAAAGCAGAAAGGAACCTCAGAAGAACAGGAATGACCCAAACAACTCTCCTGGCCAGAGTTCTGGCTTCACTATATCCACTGCCGTTACATTTCCTATTCCAACTGCAGCGGAAACTTCAACCAAGCCCAGCTTCTCTGCTTTCACTCACCACCCCCTAGAAAATGCCAAAGGAATTTCAAGCACAATTGATCTTTATCCAAAAACACTTAATCGGACAGATGTAATGGAAGAACCACCCCAAGAGACTCAGACTTTGAAAAGCACAACTGCTTCTGAAACCATTTCATCCAGCAAACTCCAGCAGAAGACCACAGCTAGGAACACAACCATGAGACACTCAACTGTGCCATCATTCCTGAGCAGCAGTCACACTCCACTGCCAATTCCCACCTCCCCTCCCTTGAGTAATCAAAATGCAGTTGCTCACGAGACAACTCCCGTTTTCCGGATGATGACAAACACAATGGTCAAGCCACGCGAACCCTCAGGGCACAATGCTGACCTGCAGCAATTAGCAGCAGAGGTTGCAACATCTCCCAAGGTTCATCCAGATGCCAAGTTCACTACTGGAACCACTGACTTTATCTACTCCAATGTGTTACATTCTACTACTATGCCAGCACTAATAACAGTTAAACCACTGAAATTTAAATGGACTCCTTCTCTCTGGTCAGAAAACCACTTTTGGTCCAAGTCATACCCAGAAAATGCTGAAAAAGGCAAAAAGTTGGGAGTGAGCATGTTGCCCAGTCTAGGCTTGCCAGAGGACACCACTCATGCTTCAAATTGGGACATCCAGAAGGCTGCAAAGAAGAGTGACTTTGATAAGACACCGGCTCAAAAAATAACAACTTCTGAACACCTTCCCTTTGACCCTTTGTCTAGGAATATATTTGCAAGGCCCAGAATAGTTGGAGGAAAAGCGGCAAGTTTTACTGTCCCCGCTAACTCAGATGCCTTTCTTCCTTGTGAGGCTGTTGGAAATCCCCTGCCCTCCATCCACTGGACCAGAGTCTCATCAGGTATTTAAAACAGTTTCTTTATATGTCGTCACCTTTAGTTACAAAACAGGGGAAAGATTGTGTTATATTTCGGGGTTACACATCCAAAGAATCAACACCAGTTTCAAATTTCACCAAGATACAGAAGCTATTAACACCCTCACTTAACATTTGGTGCATGACTTTCTTGCTCATCTGAAAAACATATCGTAATTACGAACATTTGTTTTTGAAATGCTTTGAAAGCAGATCCAAAGAAATATGTTTTGAACAGGAGAGAATTGTCATTGTGTTGAACCATCGGGCTTTTAAATTAAAATTATGGGGATAAAAAATTCCAAGAATAATTTAGGCAATGTGAAGGCTAGGTGTCCTAATTTTAAATTTAAATGTATTTGTTCTTACCTTAACATAAAGATAGCTTTCCTCATGAGACTTCTAGTTGAATAATTTGTTTTCCAACTAAACTTTGATGACCTGTGGTTATATGTTTTTCTACTATCAGGACTTGATTTGTCTAAAAGGAAACAGGATAGCAGATTCCGGGTGCTCCCCAATGGCACCCTGTCCATACAAAGGGTGGCCATTCAGGACCGTGGACAGTACCTGTGCTCAGCATCCAATCCTTTTGGCTCAGACCGCCTTCATGTCACCTTGTCGGTGGTTTCCTATCCCCCAAGGATCCTGGAGAGACGTACCAAAGAGATCACAGTCCACTCTGGAAGCACTGTGGAACTGAAGTGTAGAGCTGAAGGCAGGCCGAGCCCTATGATTTCCTGGATTCTCGCAAACCAAACAGTGATCTCAGAATCGTCCAAGGCGAATAGGCAGGCCCTGGTGACATCTGACGGAACGCTGGTCATCCACAATGTCAGTGTGTATGACCGGGGCTTTTACAAATGCATGGCCCAGAACTCCGATGGCCAGGATTCACTGCTGGTTAAAATACAAGTCATCGCAGCTCCACCTGTTATTTTAGAGCAAAAGAGGCAAGTCATTGCAGGGACTTGGGGTGAAAGCCTGAAACTGCCCTGCACCGCAAAAGGAACTCCTCAGCCCAGTGTTCACTGGGTTCTCTCGGATGGCACCGAAGTGAAACCACTACAGTTTATTGGTTCCAAATTGTTCTTATTTTCAAATGGGACTCTGTATATAAGAAACATAGCCTCTTCAGACAAGGGCACTTACGAATGCATTGCTACCAGCTCCACTGGCTCGGAGAGAAGGGTAGTAATTATTACAATGGAAGAACGGGAGACCATCCCCAGGATAGAATCTGCATCCCAGACATGGAATGAGGTGAATTTTGGGGAAAAATTACTATTGAACTGCTCAGCCATTGGGGAACCCAAACCCCAAATAATGTGGAGGCTACCATCCAAGGCTATTGTCGGCCAGTGGCACAGGTAAACCACACCTTTGTGTTGAGATTATCTACTTAGCTGTACAACTTCTGAAATGGAAAAAGTGATAGTGAGTTGGAGAGCAGTTTTACAGAGCCCAAATACCCTGCACATAAAACCCTCTCTAAAGAGAACTAATCCTTTTGAGATTAATGTATATGAATTATATAAATCCAAGCTTCTTACATACCTAACTCCTATTGAGGGGCATGGGCCAATTTTCTATTGAGCTGATATAGTTAAAGGCAGAGTAAAACTCCCATTTACTTCCATAGCTGTGATAGTTTTAAAATAGTAACTGTGTATACGTATTCATAATTTCTTGACCCAAAAAGACAGAATTTTTGTAATTCAGTCAAGGTCGGGGAGAGATACACTCCATTATTTCACCCTTCAAAGTCCCCTATTAAACATTTAAAATTTTAGTATTATCTGTACTTAACTTCTTCTCTCTGAAAATTGGAAACCACTTTATGAAAGTCACAGCAATAAGGCCTTCACAAAGTGTGTTCAGGACCCCCATTGCTCTGATGTTGTCAGACACACACTTTCCCTAATATGCTCTGCTACAGGCTTATTGGTTTATTATTAGTTTCAGGTGTACAAAACAATGGAATAGTTAGACATTTACACCCCTCACAAAGTGATAACCCCCTCCCCCAATCTACTACCCCTCTGACATCGTATATAGCTGTTACAATTCCATTGACTGTATTCCCTATGCTAAACTCCACATCCTGTGATTACACACACACACACACATATTAAATTATAGTTGACAGTCATTATTATTAAGCTTCAGGTGTACAGTGCAGTGGTCAGGCATCTACACAGTCCATGAATTGGTATCCCTAATAAGACAAGTGCCCATGTGACAGGTTTATTAATACTGATTTTTTATGTTTTCTGTGTAGATTAAATCATCTCTGAAAGTCATAGCTATAGCTTATGAGGCACTAATTAATTTTTGCCATTTGCATGACTTTATGCTATGATTTCCTATGACAGAACTCTAACATAACAGATATAAACTTCTACTTAGGCTTATAAGTTGAACAGATTTTTTTTCTAGTGTCACACTGTAAGTTGGTATTTAATATAGTTAATGAATTTAACTTGTGATCTTTAATTCAAAAGAAAATGTTAATTTTCAAATTTTTCTAGTAAGTCATCAAAGTTACTTGACCAAATGTTAAATTGAAATTAGATTTAAAATGAAAAAAAAATACTGAGCTATGAAATGCAAACTTTAGAAATAACATGTTTATCTACTATATGTATCACCATTTATGGCATCAAATATTTTCAATGCTTTATCAGTTTTTGCATTTAATATTATAAAATTAGTATGTTTCTCTTATTGCCTTCAAGTAATTACAAGCATTTCATTAATGTTGAATGCCAGTTTTTTTCTGAAATTGATGCATTTAAGTAAATTCCCAGGCACATGGGGAGGCATTTTAAATTAGGTCCTAGATAATTCTGATGCAGGTGGTGAGGGAACTGCATTAAGTAACAGCAGTGGTTCTCAGACTTTGCAACACAGGAAAATTAGTTGGAAAATGAAGAATCCCAATGCCAAAGCCACAAGCCACATCAATAAAGTCAGAAGCTGCAGAGATGGGACCCAGCCATCAGTTATTTTATACTACACAACTGATTTTAATGTGCACCTAAGTTTGAGAATCCGTGCTTTTAGAAAGGATTAGGAAAGGATGAGAGCAGGTGGTGGTGGAGCATGGTGACAAAGGACAGGGTTTGAGTGTCAACCCTGGGGCCTGAAGTAACTTACTAAATCTCTCTAAATGCCAATTTTTTCAGCTGTACAGTGAGGACCTACTTAAAGATCTAAAAGTAATGCAAAGTTCCTGGCAGTTTCCAGTCCCTTTATTAAGTGTATCCAGTAGGATTTTACCTTAGTTAACATGCCAGTAAAGTTTCTTCTATACTTGGGAAAAAAAAAAAAAAGCATACCAGCACCTTTTGTAATGTTGTACTATAATTCTCTCTACACTTCTTATGTTTGCTGGAGAATAAAAAAATGACTTGAGGCCATTTGACTTCGTTGGCAGTTATGCTGTGAAAGCATCCACACATTTCTCTCCAGTTTCACTTAACTGCTGGGCTCACATTGCCAAAAAACGAGAAAACACCTAGATGTTCACCAAGGGGAATTCTTAATCACGTTTTTGGTTTTTTCTCCATTTTTTAAATTAGTTTCAGGTGTACAAAACAATGCAATAGTTATACTTTTCACCCCTCACACGTGACAACCCCTCTCCACATTTTTAGCATCAACTCAACTTTCACTGATTTTTCTGAAACACTAGATTTAATTTTACCAGGAAAGATCTGCCATCTGGTGGCTCACTATGTGAATGGAAGGCTGTGTCCTGGCTTCAGGGGGAAAAATGGTGTCCCACAGTTCCGTCTAATGCCAGGACCAGTCACTTTACAGCTGCTGCAAAGGGCAGATGCTACAAGCTCCTAATAAATCTTACATTGGCATTTTCCCTCTTTATAACAAAATAGAACTTATCTTCTAACCAAATAAGTCTAAATATTTTGTTACAATAGCTCCCTAAAATGTACAGTCTGGCATCTTTTCTGACAAGTATGTATAAAAGTTCTTCTTTACCGACATATGTTACAGAATGATCGTTTGATATGTAAAATGGTCAAGAAAGTCATGTGTCTAAGAATTCAATATTTCTAGCATTCTCACCATTAGAATTATTTTTTTAAATCACCATGGAAAGGAGATTCATTTGAAGTCCATCTGAGAAATACTGCTTGTTTGTGTTAACTTTATACCTATTCAGTTAGAGAATTTCTTCTTTTAGCAGGTGGCTCAGAAGACAGTTAATAAGTTAATACTAACTTTAGTTTTATTGCAACAATTTAAGAAAATATCCATTAAGCCAATCTTATGTAAATAAGACAGCTCTCCTGCCTCTGGTCCTTGTTAATTGCTGCACACTCAAATCAATATCTTCTCTCCTCAGAATGGGCAGCCGAATTCATGTCTACCCCAATGGGTCCCTGTTTATTGGATCAATAACAGAAAAAGATGGCGGTGACTACCTGTGTGTGGCAAGGAACAAAATGGGAGACGATCTGATACTGATGCATGTCAGCCTAAGGCTGAAACCTGCCAAAATTGATCACAAGCAACATTTTAAAAAGCAAGTCTTTCACGGGAAAGACTTCCAAGTCGACTGCAAGGCTTCGGGCTCACCAGTGCCCCAGATATCTTGGAGTTTGCCTGACGGAACGATGATAAACAACGCAATGCAAGCTGATGACAGTGGCCGCCGGACCAGGAGGTATACCCTGTTCAACAATGGAACCTTGTACTTCAACAAAGTTGGGATAGCAGAGGAAGGAGATTACACTTGCTATGCCCAGAACACGCTAGGGAAGGATGAAATGAAGGTCCACCTGACGGTAGTAACAGCTGCCCCACGCATCAGGAAGGGCAACAAGGCCAACACGAGAATCAAGGCTGGAGACACAGCCATGCTTGACTGTGAGGTCACTGGGGAGCCCAAACCAAAAATATTTTGGCTGCTGCCTTCCAATGACATGATTTCATTCTCGAAAGGCAGGTACACATTTCATGCCAACGGCTCTTTGTCCATCACCAGAGTCAAGCTGCTCGATTCTGGCGAGTATGTGTGTGTGGCCCGAAATCCTAGTGGGGATGACACCAAAATGTACAAGCTGGATGTTGTCTCCAAGCCTCCACTAATCAATGGTTTGTATACCAACAAAACTGTCATTAAAGCCACAGCGGTGAGGCATTCCAAAAAGCATTTTGACTGCAGAGCTGAAGGGACACCATCTCCTCAAATCATGTGGATCATGCCAGACAATATTTTCCTCACAGCCCCATACTATGGAAGCAGAATCACAGTCCATAAGAATGGAACCTTGGAAATTAGGAATGTGAGGCTTTCAGATTCAGCCGATTTTATCTGTGTAGCTCGGAACGAAGGAGGAGAGAGTGTGCTGGTGGTACGGTTGGAAGTACTGGAAATGCTGAGGAGACCGACATTCAGAAACCCATTTAATGAAAAAATTGTTGCCCAACTTGGAAAGTCCACGACATTAAATTGCTCTGTGGATGGAAACCCACCACCTGAAATAATCTGGATTTTACCAAATGGCACACGATTTTCCAACAGGCCACAAAATCCTCAACATGTGATAGCAAGCAATGGTTCTTTTATCATTTATAAAACAACTCGGGATGATGCAGGAAAATATCGGTGTGCGGCAAGAAACAAAGTTGGCTACATTGAGAAGTTGATCGTCTTAGAAATTGGTCAGAAGCCAGTTATTCTCACTTATGCATCAGGAACAGTTTACTGCATCAGTGGAGAATCGTTATCATTGCATTGTGTGTCTGATGGAAGCCCGAAGCCAAATATCAAATGGACTGTACCAAGTGGTCTTATAATAGATAGGCCTCAAATTAGTGGGAAATACATATTCTATGAAAATGGCACCTTAGTCATCAAAGAAACAACCGCTTATGACAGAGGAAGCTATATTTGTAAGGCTCAAAACAGCGTTGGTCATGCACTGATTACTGTGCCAGTAATGGTTGTAGCCTACCCTCCCCGAATTATAAATCGCCCACCCAGGAGCGTCCTCACAAGGACAGGGGCGGCCGTTCAGCTCCACTGTGTGGCCCTGGGCGTCCCCAAGCCAGAGATCACCTGGGAGATGCCCGACCACCCCATGCTCTCAAGGGCAAATAAAGAGAGCACACATGGCACTGAGCCTTTTCACCCACAAGGCACCCTAGTCATTCTGAATCCCCAGACCTCAGATTCGGGAATATACAAGTGCACAGCCAAGAATCTACTTGGGAGTGACTCTGCAGCAACTTACATTCAAGTCATCTGATATGACATAAAGCTGAACAAAGTCAACATCTGGACAGAGTTTATTTTTTGGAAGAAGTTTAATCAAAGGCAGCCATAGGCATGTAAATGAATTTGAATACATTTACAATATTAAATTTATAATGGACATGCAAAAAAAAAAAAGACTTGTAAATAAATGCATTATGAACTGATACTGATGTCTACAATGGATCTCCAAACAAACTTTTAACTTAAGGCACTTTTATTTTGCCAACAAATAACAATGAACATTAAGAGAAAACTGTCCACCATAAAACAACAAGGAGCTAATGTACCTGAATTCATTAAAGAATGGACTTTTTTTCATTACCAGTTGCCTAGTGTCCACCTTCTATCAATGTTACAAGCATGGCACTGAGAACAGAGACAATGGAAAATGATTAAATTTGCAGTCTTGATGTAAATTTGCCATTTTGATGTAAAAATATTTTGTGGTTGGTTTATAAATATTTTACTAAAATCTACAGAAAATGAGTCACTGACCTGTTTTGATTATGATCCATCATTTTGTGCATTCTGAAAATTTCCATTGATGGGAAATACAAACATGTTTTAATAACTGCATTAAAAATAAATGCAGACTAACTTTTCCACATGTAAAAAGCAACTTATCACCTGTACATCATAAAAAGCTAGTGGGGGCTGATTACATCTTTGTCCAAATTAACCCATTAAGAAGGTTTTAAAAATGCAATGAAACTTCTTTATAACTTCAAAATCTAGCTCAGGCACCCCTGGTTTGGAGCTGTTTATAAGGAAAATTTTCTAAGGAAGAAACACTGCTTTATGAGCTATTTATTTCATTAAGTGGTTATCCTTTTTTGCAACAGTAAATGTTTGGGGAAAAAATCTGGACTTAATACATATAATGAAGTTTCACTGCACTTAAAATTTGTTCGACCCTACACAAAATGTTGCTTTTTGTAATTTACTGAATTTATTTATATTACATGCTTAATTCAACCTGAATTAATTTGGGGGACATTATGGTTTATCTTTTCTAATTCTAGAGGGTGGGATTTTCCAGTGTAATTTCTCCAGCATCTATTCAAATATTCACTATTACTTAAGAAGAATTATAGGAGCCTTAGTAAGTGAAAAAGAAAATGCCATAGAGCTTGCTCATATATCTCAGTGCACAAAACGGTGAGCTATGTTAGCCCCTGACAATCATTTGTGACATATGGGGGCACTCACTTCATCATTGTGCTTTCATCACACCAACTTTAAGCTGTTCCCATCTAAGAGGTGACGTGATTGTTACTATCTCTGATGTTGGCATCCTGAGGCAGCAAGAGGTCAAGGATACTCATTCTAACAGTTCTCTCTCTGCTCCTGGGCCAAGGGGAGTAAATAAAAGGACAAATGCAACTTTACCAGGAACAAGCCTGCAGTGTAAACAGGTATGTCTCAGGGCTTATTGTATCCAACTGCATTCTATTTCAACATCTTATCTTTAAGGGGAACGGAGGTTTCCATTTATCCCAAGACCATTTCCTCTACCTCACAAAGCAAATTATCAGGTTCTGTCAAAGGATAGGGCTTTCCCTTGCGACCGTTTAAAGCAAATAAATTATTGCACTTGCTAAAAATAAGGGGGGGGACCTCACAGGACAGAGAATTTAGTGGGAGTTAATATGATAAGACTAGATTAAAATTCGCAGTTGCCTTCTTTATAATGCACAGGCAAAAAACCAGCGTTAGGTTTTTCCTCAGCTTTCCAGAGAATCTTTGAATTATAGGACCTTTCCATGACTTAACTTCCTCACCTACAAGAGGGATGCGACAACAACAAAGGTCTACCCTACAGTTTTCGTGTGCAAAATGATTCATAAATTAATTTCACTTCTGCAAAATATAAAGTGCATACCAATGCTATGCAACTGTAACACTCATTCTTGAAACAGTGTTACTGCTGTTTGCAATATTGAACTACAAAAATATATGGTTCAAAGGGAAAATTGGCCTTTTAAGTACCAAGAATTCTTGAAAAGAAATGAAAACAACCAGGATGGAACACGACTCACTCACTAGGCACGACATTCACAACTCGGTTGTTTCGCCAAGGCAGTCATTGTCATGGCAGTGACATTGGCAGTCATGGATATATTACTTTGAAGAAAAATAACTTCAGGAACTCTATGATTCTTGAGAGGAAAAAAAAAATACCTGATATACAAAACCAGCTGAAATGTAAAGATTCATCTTCTGAAAGCAGATACGTTAACTTAGTGAAAAGAATGGTCTTAATGTTTTGGCAAAGTCTTTTCCAGCCCAGAGTAAACACGAAATGAGCAGGCTGGAGTGAAATCGTTTCACAGTGTACAGAGCAGTTCGCATGGATGCTGCCACAGCAAAGTAAGCGGACATGTTTTTGAGGTTGTTTGCATGAGTCAAACTTTGCAATGAGTAACTCACCTAAGAAGATAGGAATTATCTCTATCATTTGCAAAAGAAATGATCTAGTAAAGTCGTACTAGCTACATTGTTAAAAAAGTAGTTCTACATGGTTTGCTCATTATAGACAAATCTATTCACAGTATGTGTGACTACATTACATGTAAAATCATATGGCAAAAGAAAATGAATTAACACAGAACATGGGAAAATATCCCCCACGTGTTTTAAAATGCCCTGCAATTTTCACATTCAAAATTTTATGCATCTAAATCTAAAAAAATATTATATGGAATACTCTTAAGTTACACAAACTGATAATAATTTACTGTATTTTTTTTACTCTAATAGGAGCAAATTACCACATACTTGAACAAAGTTAAAATAGTTACTATTTCTTTATAATAAATTTGATGTATAATTTACTTTACTTGTGCTTTTTGCACCAATTTATAAATACAGTATATGTAATACACAACCAAGACGGACACCAACATTAATAATTAAATTCAAAATAGCAAATACTTACCATACAAAATAAACAGCAAATACATCTTTTATGAAAACCAGAGGTTTCTGGATTGGGGGCCAGATTCTCTGGAAACCATATGAAGTTTGAGTTCTGAGGAATCTCAGGCCAGCTGTGAGATTTTTTTTTTTTCTTTTTAACTCAAGTTGGCATAAGGTTCAAGAGAACCAAAACTGGAGAGTCATTTTTGCCAAATCTGGCAATAAATAAATGGAACAATTCCCCCATGGTTTGTTCGGGCCTTTAGAATTTACATATTGTATCTTCGCAAAGACTTGGGTCAATGATCTTGCCACTGAAAACAAATTTGAGTACAGCTACTTCTAATAGGCTTCCACAAGTCTCCGTGCGGCCCTTGTAGAAGCCCGGGTGTAAGTTCTTGGTCTCAGAAGTGTAAGTACTAAGCAACAATCTGTTTCAGCACCTTTTGACCACAACAAAAGCCAAGAAAACTTCTACATAAATAAGAACAAAGTTTATAAAGTGCTTATGAAATTACAAACATTTCAAATTAGAGCAATGCAAATAAATGTCCATGTCACCCTCAAAGGTGAATACAGAATAAATGGGTCACTTTCCTGTCAAGATCTGACATGCCTTTCAAATCAGTAGTTTGGTCCTGCACAGTTTGCAAAAAAAAAAAA